GCTACAACGAAACTGACGAGGTGAAAAAAAAAATTTCATTGTAGTGAAATTGAAAAATATAGCTGATCTGAGCTAGCAAAACAGAGGAACGTTTATTCTCAAAATTCAAAAAATGTTCGCTGCTTCTTATTCTTTTCCAGCGGCGTCACGATGCGATTGTCACCCATGCATAGCAAGGCCATGGTGGAAAGCACGCTGAAGCAATGCCTAAAACCGCCTTCATGACGAAGCAAACAGTTGCATTAACACGTTAACACCAGCAGCTGTGCACCGTAAAAAGTATCCGACAACGTCGAAATGGAGGCAGGGTATCGTGGAGCGGCGACATTTTCATTATTCTACACCATTCTTATCATCCATCACTCGTGGCTAGCTGATTTTGTTGATAGTGCGGACAAACAGCCGCTCTGATTAGTTACCACACTGGCCAAGTGCAAACATAATGATAAGCATCGGAATCTGAAAAGGCATCGTTTCGCGGTTGCACCCAGCAGCTGCGTGAAGGGAACCATTAACTGAGCGCCCGAGCTTCAGCTTCGGATCGTCTGCGGCTCAAGAGCACCAGTGGCAAAAGCAGGGCAGTCTCATTGCTACCGCTATCGAGCAATGGCAGCGCCCATGCTTACTGAAAAGCGCCGGTACAGTGGCGGTTTTTGGTGGTGCCAACGCCTGTTTTATACTTCGTTAACGCATCTTCAAGCCCTGAAAATGCATCGAAATGTTAAGGTGGCGCTTCCACTGCCTCCTTCTCACATTAGTTCGAGAAACGACACCAGACAACGCCACTCATCCACGCTTGCAAAAAGCGAAAAAATTACTCGCGCAAGTACAGTCAGCGTCGTCTCGCGCGTCTTGTATGTCTTGCCATGCGGCAGAAATCTGCCGATGAAAACCATGGAGGACAATCGCAGACGGCGTCTTTCACCTACTATTCGCCAACTGTGGCCGTCGTTTCAATGACACGCCGAAAGGTACCCCAGTGACAGCTGGCAGACTGAAACCGGCGTTGTTTCACTGTAGTGTAAACACGCGCGTACGCACACACATACACAAACACACACTTTCTCTGTCTCTCCGACTCACTGGCATCGCTGCTAACCTTCTTTTTGATGTAGCGACCTTGGAACTGGCTTGATGTGGCTTCGCACAAGCGTGTCATTTTTTTTTTCTTGCCACGCGAAACTGCTCAACCTCAGCCAACTAGCTTACGCTACAAAAACAGCCAGGCACATTTCAGCACAAGATAACCTGAGGATCCTGAGGTTATTTGCTGAATTTCACGATCTCCAGCTACAATAAAAGGATTACCTAAAATAAAGTGCCTCTTGTTGGTGATCAGTTGAGCAGATGATTTACACTAATATAGAGGAGTTAGAAGCTCCTAGAGCCCAAGGTTTTTCTAAAAATTTTATGAAAATTACGTGGACCACCTAGTATATGGGATGATGTGGGATAATCCTCAAGTTGGTTCATGCTGTTTCCAGTCTTCTTTCACCATCTTTGTGCTACTGTTTAAATCATGGTTAACTGGTTAACTAAGCTCCCACGAAGTGTTTGCTTTAGAATATTCTTTATTTTCGCCAAGAGCAGATTTCCAAATGCGACGTAATTGCACGAACACACAGATTATCGAGGAGCAGCACAATCAAGCTCAGCGTCGCACTTAATGGGAGGGCGGGAGTAAGGGGGTTATGCATATTCGAAAATTATAAGGGATTATGACTGCACCCATATAAGAATCACACCTTTGAGCCCACGGTCATGTGTTCTACGAAGGTCTTTTCCTATGTTATGTTTTCTACATCAAGTGCAAAGCTGTGAAGGCTAGCGAGAATTCTTCAATGAATGCGTTCGCACTAAGAAATAGTAGGATTATTTTGGATTATTTTTGTATCTCAGACATGATGTTGATTTATTTTTCTCTTTCTCTTTTATGCCTCGGAGATAAAAAGGCCCCGGTATACGGCTTGTCTTGGTTCTTATTTCTTGATGTTTTACTTGTAGCCTTTCGCGACGCTCTGCAGGTGCGTTTGAGCTTGTCTCGTAGAAGCGTTTACAATGATGAAAGCTAGGCACGAGCCGCTCGAAGTCACACATGCTTCTGATCCAACTTCTTGCATAGCTTTCACAGAGTTGCACCTGATTTAAGAAACGGAGTATAGGTACATTTGTCAGCATAGGCACGCACACGAGTGGTGCACGGTGGGTGCACCTCCCCCCCCCCCCCCCCGTCCGCTAATAGTTGGTGCGCGAAGTCTGTCCCGTACTATAGTGCCTAGAATTTGCACCCATACAATGCATTGATAGAAAGGGGGGTGCTGCTATTAACTATTGACTCTCCTTCAAAGGAGAACCCTCTGCACGTGGATGTACACCAGACGACGCCAGCGATGCTAAGATTATCAATGAGAGTTTAGTAGGGCCCTGGGGTCACTCAAGGGTGCTTATAAAGTAAGATATATCTCAACATGCATTGGCTGCATAAGGTATAGTTATTTGCTAATTTTCCTCATTGTATAGATTATCGAGCTCGTGTAGCGTAAATTGTGCACGTATTTAAACTTTTACATGCAATCCAAGATTGATTGATTTTCTGCTAAATCAGTTGCCATTCACTGCAAAAAACAACACACTTCAATCGAAGATTTTCAAATGCACGACGAACACTCGAAAAAAAAAAAAAAGGTGATGTATTACAATTATGCAAGACTTGCAAGTGTAATTATTATGTACGAGATTCATGTGTCAACGAGAATACAGTGTACTGAAAATCACGTGTTGCAATATTTCTGTCTTTCTTCTCTTTTTTGTAAAAGGTTTTATTGTAAAGGTTTTTTGTAAAAGAGTCGTTGCAGAGTAGTGTGCCCGCGAGAATGACGTGACATCTCAGGATGGGGCCGATCGGTAAACATAGTTGTAGCTCTACAAAAAGCGCAGCGCAGTCGCCGAACATGCTGAGATGTTATATCACAAGATGAATTTTGAAGTGACGGCCATCCTTGAAAGCGAGCTGAACTGGAGGAGAAGGTTGTTACTCGAGTCGTGGCACATACAGAGGACAGCCCATAATATCAACTGCTTCCTCGGAACCCTTCCCCCAGTGTATTCACATGGACTGTGCTCCACGGCAAAACGAGAGAGAGAAGGGGGGGTCATGAGCTACCCCGCGAGTGCTTTGAAGACGACGCTGCTACGTAGCCTTCGCAGTCATCCCTGAGGAAGGAACCAAGTCGGTTCCGAAACGTCGGGTTTCTTCAAAACTTCTGGTTGGAGTCTAAATCATCTCCCCCATCATGTGCATCTGCTTTTGCGCTCGTGCATGTTTCTCATTGCACCGTGTTTGTGCTCGACGCACCGTCTAGTTCCTCCACACAATCGAGATGCCCGGAGACTCGTCTGGAACCGTCCTTGCAATGAGCTTTCGGGAGCAGTAGAAAGCGGGCTTAGAAAAAGTAAGCGCCGCCAGAAGTGCACCGTCGAAACGAGAGTTTGGTGCAGTCAAATGCCCACTAGGCACCTTTACAGTTACGATCCGCTTCGTGTGCAATATGATTGCGTGAGCAGCGTAACAGAGAACGCATGCCACACTACGCTTACGAAGTCGATTGAGCGAAGGGTTAAAGTGCGTCTGCTTGCTTTCGCCGCAATTTTGCTGACGTGCTTGTCAGAAACACGAAATCAAAGCAGTTTCCTGCACACCCTGCACTATCTCTGGATGCTACGTCTGCGCGTGGCAGAGCATAAGCGACGCTCAGCTCATAGCGACCTATTACACTGGGCAGCATGCTGCGTAACATTCAATTAATTTGCAGACAGTTAATTAATGAGAATCGAGTTCTCATTAATTTACTAGGAACCTGTGACTGTAGTTTCATACACGATGGTCCTTTCAGAACCCCACCACGACCACTTGCCATGGTTGAGCTTAGATCTTGCTTTCCACATTGGGAATTGAAAAAAAAAAAAAGATTCCGTGGATAAAATAAGCCAGTTTCTGCTTTCTTTAGCAGGAATACAGAATGGGAACATATAAATAAAAGTAGTTTTTGAGGATTCCTTTTTGAAAGTTGCCCAGCGAGTGTGAAAACTTAAAATGCGATTTTCTCAGCTTCGCATTTTTTGCCAGCCTGACGAGCCTTACGAAACAGTTGCGTTTTTGGGAGACAGTTTAGTAACTGTTATACCGTCGAACTCGCAGGCAATCAAACTGTGGAGCTACGCTATTTTTTGCGGCTAAGTTGAATATATAAAATTTTGTGAATGATAATATGAGCAAATCGCAATTCAGAATTGTGGAGTATCAACACAAATCAAAATTTTTATATCATAATGTATATCAGCAATAATGTAAATTGCATAGCTTCACATCGCAGATCTCTGGCTACAGCTGCATCTTAAACTGCACGAAAAAATTTCGAGGGAATGGCCTTGATCACCCTTAACAAATGACCTAATTAGACTTTTTTTTCTGGTAATCTGAGAACTGATTGAGGTACAACAAAAATAATTACATTTTTGAAAACAGGAGAAAGAAACATATACACACCTAGTTTTGTTAAAATATCTCTAATAGTACAAATTTCGCATTTATTACCAGCGTCTCCCCTTAAGCATCAATACGTACTATGGAAAGTGTGGGTAGTTTGAATGCTTGTATGATTGACATAGCCCTACAGACAAGGACGAAATTAACACAGTACTGCACACTTTGTGTTTCTTTCATCTGTGCGTGTAGCGCTGTGTCAATCATTAAGTGTGATAGTTTAGTGACAGTGTTACATACCACATAAAATAATGTGGGTGTATGCAATGTATGACTTAGCTAGCTTCGCAGTTCAGCTTATCATTGCTGCAAGAATATTGGGGATGTAAATCATGAATGCAGTGGTCTAGGCAGATCGGCTGCGGAGCCGGTCCTTTCACCATGGCGAGAAAACTTTGCAGCAGTGGCAGCAGGAGCCGTGTGAGTGAACGGAAGCTTTTGTTGGGCAATCTTGCAGGGGCGTGAGCTTCTTATTCGAATGCTGGAGGTGTTTGTGCTCAAGTTCAAGACCATAACCAAGTGTCAGCTGCCTGTGCTCATGCAGAAGAGGTAAGAAGTCTCCAGCACATCTTTTTGCCAAAAGTACTAGGATGTCTTTCTTTAGTAAAAGATGTACTCACTGCCTCTGAACTTGTGTTCAGCGAGTGGGACTGGATGTTCTGCCTGCCTTTAATTGTGGCAACGCAATCTCATTACTTATATTTGACAGTAGCCAGATTGTGTGGAATGATGCCTAGTCGTGGCTTGAGCACGTGTACATGCAAGTTTTTAATGGGCAGAAATGAAATGTAAGAAAACTTAGGCCTGCTAATGCAAACTAGGTACTTTGCTTGCATTCTAACGTTTATTTTTTTGCTGTTGTGCTTTTGCACATGTTCGAATCGGTAAAACTGATCCGAGATCAAGGTGGTCGCATAAGATGCAGAGATCAGATGCAGAGATCAAGGTGGTCGCATAAGCACTAGCGCCTGCGCCATTTAGTTTATGATGAAATTGAAAACAGTCCTGCCAGTGAGTGAACAAGACGCAATGAGAAGGAGAAGGAATTAAACATTGCTGAGTGCTGCACTGTACCTGATTGTAAGGTATGTTGCTGCAAAAAAACATTCTACGCATGCTACGTTTCAAGCATCTTACGACACATGCAGTATCGCATTTTGTTGACCTGCTAGGTAGGGTGTTTCTTTGATGTCAAGCACAAAGAGATGGCTGTGAAGGGCTTCTAATAGAGCTGTGTGAATTTTGGGTGTGAATTTTGGGTGTGAAGTGAATTCGTATGTTTATGTGTGAGTGTGAATTGAATATTTTCCTAATAGTTCTAAGATACAGTCGAATCTCATTAATTCGGACAGTATTATTTCAAGCATCCAGTTTATTAGAACTGACGCTGTGGTCCCATCAAAGCTATGTGTATTCCAATGGGCAAAAATGCCCTGTAATTTGATTGCGCAAGCACTTGTGACGGTTAATTCGAACATACCACGCCCAATCCCGCGGCGGCACCTTCGGCTCTTCAACGCCACTCGCGAAGAAGCAAAAGAAGAAAAGGGAAGAAAAGGCTGTGGCGGAATGTTTGTTTTCTCTCAAAATCTGATCTGCGACGCGCTTGTGCCACGGTTTTCCCTTTTCCGTCTCTACCACATAGAACATCCTTCTCCTTTCAACCCCAAGTGCGAAGAGGGAGAAAGAGAGGGGAAAAAAAGCTGTCGCAGAGTGTTGGCTTTCTCTCAAATGCTGATCTGCGACGCATCGGTGCTATGCTTCCCTCTTTCCCGTCTATGCCATGTAGAGACCCTTCTATTTTCAACGGCACGTAAAAGAAAGAGAGCAAAAAAACAAAAAAAGCTGCCGAGGAGTGTTGGTTCTCTCTCAAATGCTGATCTGCTTCTCTCTGCATGGAGATGCTCCTCTTTTCTTGATACGTGCTGGCCACGCTGCGGCTGCGGCGCAGACGGTAGCAGCAGATACGCAGTCATTGTCGTTTTTAGAGAGTGTCGGCGCTGGACATTGCCACGCGCGACTTCCCTTGCCAGGAGAATGCTGAAGCCGAAGGTGAAATGATTTGCAAGCTGCGTGCGAAATCGATTGACTCGCTGCAAGGCAAACTTGTTCACCATCACCATTACTTTAATTAATGACGGGTGTCCTGTGATTTGGGAATGAATAAGTCTTCCAAAACTTCCCCCTAATCTGTTAGCTCAATGCACGTGCGCCACTGCATGGTGAGCCCTCCGTTCATCTAGTTTTCATTGATTCGAACTTCTTTTAATTAGAACAAATTTTCGGGCCCCTTCGAGTTCGAATTATCGAGATTCGACTGCATTTTGGAATAGTTCTTAGCAAAATAGTTGATAAGAAAGTTGTGGAGGATTCCTAAGCATATACCTGCCAACTCTCTCGAGAGACTCCTTAATTTTGACGCCCTCTACAGATAATATGAATGCCATCTCTAACCTCCTCCTGAAAAGTGGCCGCCACAGCAGAGGTATTCTTTTCTTTTTGAAATATCGCACATACTTCAGCCTTTCTTGCTGTATAACTTTTGTAGGCCCAAAAGGCATGTATGTAACACAAATGGACACAGGAGGTCTTACCTATGGGCCTTTTGTGCTTACAAAAGGTATGGATCAGTACCAACTAGCCTGAACCCAATGCCTTTCAAGTTATATTCCTGTTGCAACAGTTGCGGTGCTGCAGAACAACCCTTGCCACTACACAAGCTGCTCCAGAAGACTGAAGCCTGCTTCCATCCCCGTTAATAAAACACAGCTTTTAAATAAGTTGCAAGTGAGCCCGCAAAACATGTTTTTCGCAAAAAAGTCCGTGATGCATGTGTGTGAAGAGGAGAAGCAATAAGAGTGGTCTCGAGTTTATTTAATGTGGCAGCATGCTCATCGCCGACGCCCTTCGCAGGTACAAGCTGCCTGAGGCCATTAATCTAGCCAATTGCTACGGCCACACTTGATTGTGGGCACTGGCTTGAACGTGTTGTCGTCATCGTTTGATTCCTCCCAATCGCTCTTGCCGCACACTTCATTCAAAATTCCCTCGTCTGTGCACAGTTTCTCAATGTTGGTTCATCATCAGCCTTAATGAAATCATCCAAGCAGACGTCCCACCCTCCCATGTCAGAGTCAACAGCGCCCTGCCACAAATCGCCGCCGCAGCGTTCCTGTTCGAAAGCTCCAGGCTTGGCATTAATTTGGATGTTGAAGAAGTGGGCCTCGCGAAAACAGTTTGGCACACATGTTGCTGTCTCCTCCGCCCACGAAGCCTTCACGATCTTCACAGCTGAATACAGGGACACCCGAACCCGCGAGTTGGCTGCCGGGCGATGAACAGCTATGAGCAAATGCTCCACAGTGCGGCACCTGTAGTAAGTATTGAACACGCAAATTACACTCAAGGCAAGTGTTCATATTTTCAACGCTGTGTTGAGCGGTAGAAAAAAGCACTGAAGGCTTCCTGTTCGCCATCCTGACCACACACATACACCAACAGCGAGCATGACAAGCCAGGACGTGAGGAACTGCTTTGGGCCCGTTTCTAGACAGAAAAAGAAACTTCTGAATACGAGTCAGTGTGGTTGGCGTCACAGAGTGGTGGAGACAGGCAAAGGAGTTGGGATAAAAAAGAGGAGAGCAGACTTGCGAGAGACGGCTAAAGTAATTGTGATAGAGTTGAGAGAGGGAAGCCTACGGCGAAAGGTGACCTTGAAAACCAAAACATGCAGGAAGAAGGCAAGTCTGGTAGCTTGCTTGAAAGGTTCACGAAATGGGCAACTAACGTGTCACAGAACTGGAGAATAGCCAGCTCATGCAGTGGTTACAAAATCCATTTGTGGCGCTAGTGCGCTTGAGCGGCCCCACCGACATTATTATTCTTGCTTTTTTTCTCCTTGTAACAGCAGTTTTTACGCTTCCACATGCAAGCAAATGTCATGCTGAGCGAGAACAGGTCCTAAACACGGAACGAATTGTAAGTTATCTAAGCCGGTAAGGTAGTGCAAGCACGCCTAATGATGTGACACCGATCCAGACAAGACAGACACTGATGATCGGGTACAGTTGCGCCCCAACAAATCTTGGCGGATTGTCTGGTAACTAACTCTAGGCCAGGGAAAACAACGACGATGTAACAGGACCAGCGATCAAAAACTGAGAAAGACTAGTCAGCCGATCATTCTTCGAAAGATCGGTGGTAACTGCATGAAAACACTGGCCTCATCTGGCGATGTGGGGTGCTCGAGTAGCAGGAGAACAAAGGACAGACGATCGGGTAACAAAAAAAGGTTGGGGAGAGCAACAACTGGCTGTGGAGGCAGTTTAACAGTACAAATTTATGGGCACGTCGCCCATGGCTTATGGCGGTTAAAAGTGGTGTCCTGGGAAGTCACCGTAGAACCAACTCTATTTGCTGTAAGCGATTGGCGACGCTAAGAGACGTTTGCTGCAAGTGCGATTTTTTGCCATTGAAATACTGTAGACTCTTGATAATTTAAACTCTTAATTCATACTTCCAGTTATTTTACACAAAATTCAATTTTTCGGTTGGCCCCAATGTTTTTACAGTTGGGTAAGTGCGCGCGGTTGCAGCGGCGAGTAGCGGCCCCGTTCCATCTCCTGCGCAGCGGCGGCACTGTTGTCGCTTTAGAATCGTTAAAGAAGTTTCGTCTGCTACCTCTGCATGCGAAATAGCGGGAAATCAGTTTCCGAATATGCGCATTTCCGATGGAGGCGGAAATGTTGTAGGCCCGTGTACTCAGATTTGGATGCACGTTAAAGAACCCTAGGTGGTCAAAATTTCCGGAGCCCTCCACCACGGCGTCTCTCATAATCAAATGGTGGTTTTGGGACGTTAAACCCCACAAATCAATCAATCAGTTTCCGAATATGCGTATTTTAGATAAAGCAGCTAGATGAGGGCTGAATGAATACCACTTAGTGATTAATAAGGGCCGTGCCTGTACTTAACAACTGTATGATTGATTGATTCTGTGCCTCCAACGAATCATTGGGGTGGTCAAGAGGTGGCACACCGGGCCTGTGCTGTTCCTCCCCCCTTCCCCCCTCAAGTTTTTCCTGCTATTATTTACAAAACCAAAAGTGAAGTGGCACTTGACCACACCTGCCTGTCTAGCACCCATTTCAGATTAAGGTGGTGCCCCTAGCCCCAGAAAGCATTCTGCCTGTGCCTCGGCAATAAAGAGCCATCATCTGTTCCTTCAGGTTGTGGATGATTTTAAGCGAACGAGCCTGTTACAATTACAGAACAGAACAGTGAACAGTGAACTTTATTGACATCATGTACATAGTACACACACATAGTACACAATGCCGGAGGCCGGCAGAAAAAGCCATCGCAAGGATAGCTTGACGAAGCTGCGGGCCCCCGTTTTGGCACCAGCGTACAACGGTGTTCTCAGTACATAAAAAAAAAAAATACTGTACAGATAAATCACTTAGTACAGGACCCGAAGGAAAATGTGAGCCCACTACAAATAATCACGTCTTGCGTACAAACCATACACAAAAGAAAAATATACACCA